TCGATCGACGCACCACCAAAAATCATATTTTTGGTTCACGGGCGTTACATCTACCTTGACGTTTCTAGCAAAAATCTCGTGCATTGTCACCGAACAAGTCTACCATTATTGTATATTATTGTATACAAGAACACACGTGTATCATCATTCAATACAACCAAACAAGTCTACCATCCAAATCGAAACAAGTCTATCGTCATTCAATATTAAGAAACATGTCTATCATCATAACATAAAGTCTATCGTAATTCAATTAGCCAAACAGGTCTACCAAATTCATCGAAAAAGCAACAAGTCTACCAATGTCAACAAGTCTACCAACTGAAGATTGTTTTAGTTTTTCACCGTGCAATTATTTGGTTCGTCTAATGGTAAAACATGGATTTTGCGTACTCTGTAAACAAGTCTACCACCTACCACAACAAGTGTACACCTACCAAAAACAAATCTACCACCATGTTTGTTTCAAAACTCTACCATTACCCTTATCCTAATCCAAACAAGTCTACCATGCCGCTTATTTTATAAATCTACCGTTACGCTTATCCGAATCTAAAGAAGTCTATTGTCATTCAATATTAAGAAACAAGTCTATCGTAACTCAAACAAGTCTACCATGTTTATCGAAAAAGCAAAAAAAATATACCATATTAACAACTCTACTATTGTCAACAAATCTACCAACTGAAGGTTGTTTTAGTAAAGACCTGAAAAGCTTGAATAATCCTACCAAGGAAAGTAATAAGTCTACAACATATTATACATCTACCACCACTATAAATAAGTCTACTATCGCTAACAATCAATAAGTCTACCGATCACAAATTATAAGTCTACCAAGGAAACTAATAAATCTACTACAAAATATAAATGTACCACCACTATAAATAAGTCTACCATCGCGAACAATCAATAAGTCTACTGATCACAAAATTATGTCTACCAAACCCCAATTTAAATCTACCATAAAGATATTTAAATCTACCACTAGTAATTAATCTACCATTACATAAACATAAATCTACCACGCAATAATAAGTCTACCGAGATAAATCTACCATTCGACTACTAAGTCTACCATTAAAAAACAAATCTACCATTGAAGGCGTTAACTCTACCACTCCAAAACATCTCTACCATTGCCTAAAATAAGTCTACACAACAAGTCTACCATTCAAATTTTAAGTCTACCGTTCGTCGATTAAATCTACGGACTTGAATTAAGTCTACCAACAACTTAATAAATCTGCCGGCCAAAATATAAATCTACCATCACATGAACGGTAGACTGATTTGTTTTTGGCGGAAAACTCATTAATGACAGTTTCGTAAATATGTTTTTTGTTTTCAAGGAAAATAAGGGTAAAACGGATACAGAAGGTTGTTTGAGTAATTATGAAATATTAGCATCTTTTTGGTCAAAAAACCATTTTTCAAGGTTGTTTTAGTAAACCTCCCTAAATGTAATCCTGAAAAAGATTTTGGAAAACCTACAAACATCAAACCTAATATTTACCTTGTTATTGATGGGTTCGCAACAAAAACAAAAGGAAAAGTGATCATGTAAGAAATCGAAGAAAAAGGTTATGGAATTCGAAAATGA